AATTAATGAACACAAAGGGTGAAAGAGGCATTGTCACCAGGGACCTTACAGGTACAAAAAAGATGAGGAAACATTATAAACAACTCTAGGCCCATAAATTTGAAAACTAACATGAAATAGACCAATTCCTTGGAAGACAGACTACCACCTTCACTCAAGAAGAAATAGATAGCCCAGACAGCCCTATACGTATTAAAGAAATTGACTTCGGGGTGGGCCCTGTGGCGTAGTGGCTAAGTGTGCACGCTCGGCTGCGGCGGCCTGGGGTTCGCAGGTTCGGATCCCGGGCGCGCACAAACGCACCGCTTGTCAGGCCATGCTGTGGCAGCGTCCCATATAAAGTGGAGGAAGATGGGCACAGATGTTAGCCCAGGGCCAATCTTCCTCAGCAGAAAGAGGAGAATTTGCATCGGATGTTAGCTCAGGGGTGATCTTCCTCACACACAAAAAAAAGAAATTGACTTCATGGTTAGAACCCATCCAACAAAGAAAACTCCAGGCCCAGATGTCTTCACTGGCTAATTATTCCCACCCTTAAGGAAGAATTAATATCAATTCTATGCAATCTATGACAGAAAAGAGAAGAGAAGGGAACGCTTCCCAACTCATTTTATGAAACGAGCATTACTCTGGGACCAAACCCAGACAGAAACAATATAAGAAAAGAAAACCACAGACCAATGTCTTTCATGAATATAGACACCGAAATCCTCCACAAGTATTACCAAATTAAATCTAGCAATGTAGAAAAAGGGTGATGAACCGTGGCCAAATGGGGTCTACGCCATGAAGAAAGGCTGGTCCGGCATTCAAAAATCAACAATGCAACTCACCACATCAGTGGACTAAAGAAGAAAAACCATGTGATCATATTAATAGATGCAGTAAAAGTATCTGACAGAATTCAACATCTATGCATGTTAAGAACTCTCAGAAAACTAAGAAAAGAAGAGAACTTCCTTAACCTAATAAAGAACCAAAAACCACAGCTAACATCATACTTAATGGTGAAAGACAGGGTTTTCCCCATAAGATTGAGAACAAGGCAAAGATGTCTGTTTTCACCATTTCATTTTTTTTTTTAAAGGTTTTTTTTTTTTTCCTTTCCTCCTCGAAGCCCCAGTACATAGTTGCATATCCTCGTTGTAGGTCTTTCTAGTTCTTCTATGTGGGACGCCGCCTCAGCATGGCTTGATGAGCAGTGAGTAGGTCTTCGCCCAGGATCTGAACCGGCTAACCCGGGGCCACAGAAGCAGAATACACGATCTTAACCACTACACTACCGGGCCAGCCCCTCACCATTTCTTAACAACATTGTATTCAAGTTTCAGTCAATAAAATAAGGGAAAACAAAAGAGAAAGAGGAAGAAAGGAAGGGAGGGAGGGAGGAAGGAAGGAAGGAAGGAAAGTCATCCAGATAGGAAAGGAAGAAATAAAACCGTCTCTATTCATGAACAAGATAATTGTCAATGTAGAAGTTCTGGAGAAAACTTAAAAAAAAAAAAATCCTTAAACTAATAGTGAGTTTAGCAACATCAAACGATACAAGGTCAACACACAAAAACTGTGTTTCTACTTGTTAGCAGTGAACAATTAGAAACCCAATTTTTAAAAAGTACCATTTATAATCATACCAGAAAACACAAAATACTTAGGTATAAATCTTACAAAGTATGTGCAGGATCTGTATGCCAAAAACTACAAAATACTGATGAAAGAAATCAAAGAAAATCTAAATAAATGGAGAGATTTACTATGTTCATGGATTGCAAGACTCAATATCGTTAAGACGTCAGTTTTCCCCAAATAACTGTATAGGTTCAGCACCATCCCAATTCTCAGCAGGACTTTTTCTTAGATACAGACAAGCTCATTCTAAAGTTCATACATAAAGACAGCAGAACTGGAACAGCACAAACAGTTTTGTGAAAAAACAAAGAGGACTCACTGTCTGATTTCCTGACTTACAATAAAGCCACAGTAATCAAGACTGCGTGTTACTGCTGAAAGGAAAGATGCATAGACAATGGAGCAGAAGACAGTGTCAAGAAACAGCCCCACACAAACATGATCAATTGATTTTTGACAAAAGTTCAAAGGCAATTCAGTGGAGAAAAGACAGTCTTTTCAACAGATGGTGCTGAGACAGCTGGACATTCATAGGCAAGAAAAAAAAAAGAACCTCAACACATACTTGACACATTAAAATTAACTTAAATACACTGTTAGGAGAATGAAGAGGCAAGCTAGTCTGGGAGAAAATATTTTCAAATCACATATCTGACTTTTTTTTTTTTTTCCATTGTAGTGTACAATGGCATGTCGTGATTTTTACTGTCATTTCCCTGATGGCTAATGATGTTGAGTACTTTCTCATATGCTTATGGACCATTAGGATACCCTCCTTTGTAATATGCCTGTTCAAGACCTTTGCCTTGGGCCGGCCCCGTGGCTTGGCGGTTAAGTGCGTGAGCTCCGCTGCTGGCGGCCCGGGTTCGGATCCCGGCCGCGCACCGACGCACCGCTTCTCCGGCCATGCTGAGGCCGCGTCCCACATACAGCAACTAGAAGGATGTGCAACTATGACATACAACTATCTACTGAGGCTTTGGGGAAAAAAAAAAAGAGGAGGATTGGCAATAGATGTTAGCTCAGAGCCGGTCTTCCTCAGCAAAAAGAGGAGGCTTGGCATGGATGTTAGCTCAGGGCTGATCTTCCTCACAGGAAAAAAAAAAAAAAGACCTTTCCCTTTGTTAAAATTGGATTGTCTGTCTTTTCTTGTTGATTTGACAGAGCTCTTTATATATTCTGGATCTGCATCCTTTATCAGAGATCTGTATTGCACAAATCTTTTCCCTGTCTGGATTGCCTTTTCACTCTTAATGGTGAATGGTGAATGGTGAATGGTCCCTCCTGGGGACCATGAGGGAACTCCAAGCAGATCAGAAGCTAGGCTGGACTCACCACTTTCCACCCAACCTGAGATCACAGGGCCACCTCTGCCTTGGACGTCTGTCCTGGGAGAGAAGAAACTTCCTCCTGCCCCGGGCACTACTGATTGCATGAAAGGGATTGAATGCAACTCGGACCTAGATGCCCGTCTACACCTCCATCCTGCACACACCTTTCCTTTATCAGACCTCTCGGGATTCTGCCCTTTCTGAATATCCTCTCGGCATCTGTCTTTCCAGAGTCCTTGTATTCTTTCTAATATACACACTCTCTGCCCATCAAGCTGGCCCCTGTGTCCCCTGTTACCTTTGAAATCAGGACCCCTGATTCCTGGCAACAGCTCTATGCTCCAGGTCCATCCTGAGTTTTCTGGCCCTCCCAGGCTGGGGGAGCCAGACAAGAAAACGAGGGGCTGGGATGTGCGTCAGGTGGTCCCCAGACTGATGGACAGCCCACTTCATGGCCCCTTTGGTGACAGGGCTCTAGGTCGTGTGTCACCCCGATTCTAGTGAGTCCATAGTGAAAATTCTCACTGTAATTCATTTTCCATGTTCGTCCTCTCTGTGCGCTTTTATCATCTGAGGGAGGACAGTCGGGGCTGACCCCTCTGTCACGCACAGCCGTCCGTCTCTGGCCAACTCTGTGCTGTGGGTCTACTCTGCAAGGAGTCTTACCTAGGTGGACCTGGGGCCCTCCCCACAGAGCATCCAGGCTCCCACAGTCGTGTGTCGGCAGGAGGGGTGATGGGCCCAGTGAGTTCACAGGTCTGGTGGGCGCAGGGCGAGAAGGTTCTCATTGTGGGCTTCTCTCTGAAGAGGGGGGTGACTCAGGTGACACCAGTGTCTGAAGGACGTGCAGAACCACAGCGGTTGCTAAGCTTCCTGAGCGCTCCTCCCAGCCCTTCCTGTGTTATCTCATTTAACGCTCTGGGAGGTAAGCACCAATTTCCCGGGCTCAGAGGGGCACACAACCTGCTCAGGGTCACAGGCTCCCAGGTGATGGAGCTGGGATGGGGGTTGACCACTCCACTGCCCACCCTGGAGGATGGAGGGTCAGGCAGTGGCTGCGGGTGGAGCGACTAAGCGTGGTCCTGGGTACCGGAGGAGAGGCTGCTTTGCGGGATGGGGTGCAGGGCCCTGCACTGGAGTCTGAGTCATTGCGGGGGTCGCGCCAGGGCAAGGAGAGATGGGGCGGAGTGGGGTGCAGCAGGGAGGAAGGGTGTGCACGGAGCTTGTACCTCAGGCACCGCCGATCATCAGGGACCCAAGGGGAAGGCGCCCGAGCGCTCGGGGCCTGTGGGTGGAGCCTGGGCTCGGGTCTCCTCGCGTCTGGCGGAACCGCCCTGAGAAGGATGTTCTTCCGAAAGCTCGTGAACAGGCTGGAGTTAGAAGCGGCCCCGCCTCCGCCTCGAGGCGCCTCCGGGAGCGTCCCTGAGGGGACACCCAGCTTGGGCACATACAGGGACCCGGGGGTCTCTGGGGCCGGCGGGATGGCGCTGGCGTGGATGTCTGTGCGCCTCAGAGTATGATCCGACCAACCTTCTATCCCCGTCGGTTTCTTGGGGCGGAGATCCGCGCGTCCCCGCCAACCCTGCGCGGCGCGGGGCTATCCTGGGCTCGCCTGTGCCAATCACCTCGCTTAACTCGCATCTCACCGGGCCGTTGCATTTGTCCACCTGCAAAAGTCCAAGATGGACAAATACAGGGTGCCTCTTGGAGCGTCCCGGGGCCCACCGAGGGCGGGGCGGATGAGGGCGTGGCTAAGGCCGGGCGGGGGCGTGCCCGAGGGCGGGACTCCCGCTTCGCGCCCTGGTCACTGTCCGCGGTGCTGAGCGCCCGCCGGGGCGCAGGGGGCCGGCGCGCCATGGGGAACCGCAGCGCC